CTCGCGCCTGTAATCTTAGCACTTTGGGAGGCCGAGGTGGGTGGATCACGAGGTCAGGAGTTTGAGACAAGCCTGGCCAACATAGTGAAACCCTGTCTCTACTAAAAATACAAAAAAAAAAAAAAAATTAGTGGGCAATGGTGGCAGGTACCTGTAATCCCAGCTACTGGGGAGGCTGAGGCAGGAGAATCACTTGAACTCGGGAGGCAGAAGTTGCAGAGAGCCAAGATCGCCGCCATTGCACTTTAGCCTGCGGCCGACAACAGCGAGACTCTGTCTCAAAAAAAAAAAAAAGAAAGAAGAAAAGAGAAAGAGAAACAGAAGAGGAGAAGAGATGCACTAAAAAATTCCTGAAAGGTAGTACCACGATTGGATTTGTAATTCTTCTGACTTGTGGGGCACTAAATTGTAGAGGTCTCGAATTAACTTTCTTTGTAGTTTACCTAAACTTGGCTCAAAATAATCCCCTAAAAGTCCCAATAATTTTGTCCTATAAAATTCTGAAATGGAAGAAGGGCCACCTTGCACCTCTTGCTGGCCCCGGGTCTCCCAGGACCTCATACAAGTGACACTCAGCTATATAGGACAGCGATTTACTCTATGAATCACCACGGACAAAAAAAATAAAGACCCATTTCCTCTAAATGACAAAGAAACACTTGAAAAGTGGCAAAAAAAAAAAAAAATAGAAAGCAAGATTGATGCGTTTCTAGTAAATACCAGTCACTATGCAGTGACCATTTCACTCCTGACTCTCTTGACATCAGACGGGGGATTTGATATTTAAAACAAAGTATCTTTCCAACAACTTTTTCCTTTGCCTGAAGACAATCACGGAAAAGACCCTTCTTAAAAAACAAACAAACAAACCAACCCAGAAGAAAAAATTGGAAGATGAGAAAAAAGTATGCCTAAAAGCCAAATCAGAAAAATCACTTGTATTAAATGAGGCAAAGTAAAATACAGTTAACAAAGATGTGCTCCCTGAACATGCAATTACTTGATTCATCTGCCTTGGTAAAGTCACCAGCTTCCAAAACCAAGAAGTACACAAAATATACGTTAACTCTTTTCTTTTTGAGACAGAGTCTTACTCTGTTGCCCAGGCTGGAGTGCAGTAGCGCAATCTTGGCTCACTGCAACCTCTGCCTCCCAGGTTCAAGTCAAAATACATGTTAACTCTTAAACTAATTAAACAAGATTAACGAGGAAACTCTTAAACTAGTTAAACAAGATTAACTAGGAAACCAGAATCTATCTTGAAAACATCAGTTAACTAAAATAGGGATATAGGTGGTTTTCACACATCTTTTGAATATCTAAATTCTACAACTATTACTTTGAAAACTTCAAATTCAGAAGGTATTCAACAGTCTTTGGAAACCCAAGAAGTGCTTGAAATAACTACCAATTATCTTGCTAATCCAAACTTTACAAATATTCCATGAAAATCAGGTCAGCACAGGATAATTCATTCTTATTTAGCACAATTAATCAAACAGTTGAAGAATTAAACACAAATAAATAATCTATTATTGCCAGTTTTCTAAACCTATAGTTAATTCTTTTATATCTGCCCAAAAAGAAACCAGGGAAATGGAAGACACAGACACTGAAGACTCCTTATATAAGGATGTAAACTATGGAACACTCTTTTTTTTTTTTAAGAGACAGGATCTTGCTCTGCCACACAGGCTAGAGTACAGTAGTACCATCATAGCTCACGTTAGTAACCTTGAGCTCCTGGGCTCAAGTGATCCTCCTGTCTCAGCCTCCTGAGTATCCAGGACTATAAGCATATCACCATGTCCAGCTAATCTGCAACTTTTTGTAGAGACTGGGTCTTGCTATGTTGCCCAGGCTGGTCTTGAACTCCTGGTCTCAAGTGATCCTCCTGTTTCAGCCTCCCAAAGTGCTAGGATTACATACATGAGCCACTGCGCTGGAACACAAATTGAACATTCCTACTGCAGACAAGACACAAATAAAGAACATTTTTGGCAGAAAGTCTCTAAGCTACATTCGAAGATAACTCTTCTTGACCTACAAACAATAAACTATAGGTAGACTGAAGTCTTTGGAAGCTCTTATAAGACAGCCAAAGCAGGAAAACTGCCTATCTGAAGAAAATGTCAGATGATAAAAAACCGTTTTACAACAGAGGATGTCACTATGATATAGCGTAAAAAGGCTTTAAAGCTATGACTGTTTTATAAGCTTTTTCCAGCCAAATCAAACTTTATACAAAGGGAACTTTTTCCTGTATAAAGTTCTGATCTTAAGGAACTACGAGACTGCTCCAATGTTATGAACTGTATCCTGTTCTTATAATGCTCATTTTTAGAAAAACTAGAGAGTTGTGCTAAAGAGAAACAGTTTTATTAGTTGATAATTTTCCAAATTAAAGTTAAAATTTAGTGAATAAATGATATGATTCGGTCATAACATGAAAGAACAAGGGCATGTTCAAAAGAACCTGAAACAGAAGTCAGGTTCAGCAATCAGTCCTGGTTTCACCACTGGCAAATATGGCTTGGGCAAGTTACCTATCAAGACTGAACCTCAGTCTCTAATCTATAAAATAGGAATATTTACTAGATCTCTAATAGTCTATTTCTTTTGTTAGAACAGGTTTTCTCTAAGATTACTTTCATAATACTAGAAGTTGGCTAGAATTTGATAATAACTATTCCATTATCCTCAATATTTATTGAATTCTGTGCTGTCTGACCTTTTGGCTATAGTTATATATCTGTTACATAAAGGAAAATACACCTTTTATAATTTTATTCCAGTTGAACCAAATTAAGGAACTGCCCCTTAGCCCAGTTCTCAGGTGAGGTACTTCAAACTTGAAAGAATATGTGTATTGGTACTTCATATGTCACTGACCATCATAATACACAGTCATTTAAGCTTCTTAACATACTGTAGTTATACAGCTACATTTACAAACCAAAAATTTTAATGAGGCTAATTTTAAATATATTTAAGTATATTTTAGAAATCACAGTTGATATCTTTTTTTTTTTTCTGTGACAGTACAGTGATTTATTGGAAGGGTTTCCAGCACATACCCAAGAAAAGGTAGTGTGAGCGTACTCAGAGAGAGACGTGCCCTTAGTATCTACTTCTTAATAGGTGTAACCTTTAAAGCATGTGCCTGCCTCATCTGTAAACTGCAGAATACCGAATACTGTACATTCCCACTTATGTAAATTTTATTAAAATTAATAAGCAAGAAATTACAGATAAGTGGTGATAACCTTAGGGAGATAAAGGTCTTTTATTAAGGAAGAGAAATGATGGTGATATAAATAAAAATACTGTTTATATCCACACAAATTTGAAAAATGTAAAAGTAAAGACTTTGTGGCAACAATAAAAATGTGAAAATATGTTTCCTTAGAATTAGCAGTCAACATAATTAAGTATGTTAATGCCTACGATGGATGCTGTGCAAGTTGCTGTTAGTCCGATTCTTATTCTTTTCATCTGTTAAAAAGAAAATACTGGCCAGGTGTGGTGGCTCATGCCTGTAATCCCAGCACTTCGGGAGGCCAAGGAGAAAGGATCACTTGAGGCCAGGAGTTCAAGATCAGCCTGGGCAACACAGCAAGACTATCTTTACAAAAAATCAAAAATTAGCTGGGCACAGTAGTGTGCCCATAGTCCTGGCTACTCAGGAGGCTTAGGCAGGAGGATCACTTGAGCTTAGGAGACAGAAGCTGCTGTGAGTCATGACTGTACCTCTGCACTCCAGCCTGGTGACAGAGCAAGACCTTGTGTCAAAAAGAAAAAAAAAAAAAGAAAATTCTTTTTTTTTTTTTTTTTTTTTTCCTTTTTTTAAATTTTTTTTTTTTTTTTTTTGGCTTGTTTTTGGGATTTCGTTAGGTTACCAAAAAGTTTTTGGTCCTGGAAATTAGGAGGTGTTCAATAAATATCAGTTGATGCTCAACAGTAAATAATGCACTAATTGTTGTAAATGCATGATGATTCTTTTTTGCTCATATTTCACTTAGTTTCTGCAGGCTATTAAAATTAATTGGTATGTAAAATAAAATTCTGAAATGAATACTCTAATTCAGGGACTAGCAAACTATTACCTGCAGAGCCAAATCTGGGTGTTTGGTAAATGAAATTTGTTTACATACTGTCTATGGCTCTTTTCACATGATAAAATCAAAGATTAGAAGTTGTTATTAAGACAGCATGGCCCAAAAAAGCTAAAATATTTACTATCTGGCCTTCTAGAGAAAGATTTTCAACCTCTGCTCTAATTCCGCCAGCCTCAAAATACAACAGGAAAGAGTCTTAAGAGAAATCACTTTTTTTTCACAATTTGCAAGGCCTTCATTTTTTAAAAAGAAATCCTAACAAGTCTCACATTTATGGAATCAGCACTTTTGGTCACTTCAACAAACCAAAAGGTCTTTTCAGATTTACCATTGTGAAAACTGTACTTCCCCACAAGCTCCTAAATCTACTATGCTGAACTAATTTTACAAACTTCTCAAAAAAAAAAAAAAGAACTTTAAGCTGAATCGACAAACATATACCCTTAGTCCCAAGGTAATTTTCTGAAAGAAGTTAGCCTTAAAAGTAGGGCCTAAACAATATGCCTTTACATTAAAGTGTATCCTTCTATTAATAGATAAATTTAAATAAGACAATATAATTTCTGCCTATGTTTGTAGAAGTTTATAATCGTTCCTTATATGAAATAGATTTTTATTGTTAGCTTCAATAGACTTATAACCCTAAGCTAAATATACCTGAATAAGTGATCAACATTCAAAAAAGCAAAATCAAATATCCAATTTATGTTTTTAAATAAAAATGGGGTTACTCACTGAGGTAAAGGGTGAGGATCCTTTACTTCTCAGCCCTTGACACCCTTTCAGGTGGTAGATTAGCTTTCTATAGTCTGAATATGGTGGAAAAAATCTGTACATTAGAAGGATAACAAGAGCTTGTCCATTTTCCTTTCTCAGATGTTAGTGCTTTCTCCCTTGATGAAATAAATTGTTCTAAAGTAGGAACGAGAACAAGGACTTTGAGACATGATGCAAAAAAAAAAAAAAAGACCCCACACACAAAAAAAGGTAAGCTATTCATAAAATGTAGGCTCTAAAAGAAATTCTAGTGCTAAAATATAACCCTAAACATCATACCTGTGAGGATGGCTCCCTCAACTGCTGCTCTACTCCCTTCATCAACAAGTAATCCATTCATTCCAAGTTTAAAGGGAAAAAATTTGAGTATCTATCATCTTTTCAAATCAGATATCACATGTCCTGCTCAGAAAATTTCTATATAGAAAAATAACAAACTTCCCGACTGTCCTTCAAAAGGACCAGACTCATCTAACACTTCACCCATAAGCCAGTAGCCGGAAAAACCTGTCACACCCCGAAGATACAAACCTCCCGTCGAACGACACTTGCAGTTCTCTCCATGTGATCAGTTTTCCTTTTGGATTTCATTATGCTTTAACAGAAAGTAAAATTAAGTTATTACATATTATCTTCACAAAAATAATAAAATTAGTTTTCCCTGAAATATCGTGGTTATCCTAAATACAGTGTAACACTATGGATCCTATAAAGTGGCCAGTGAGTATTTGCCCATCTAACTGAAGTTTTGGCCGGGCATGGTGGTTCACGCCTGTAATCCCAGCACTTTGGGAGGGCGAGGCAGGCAGATCATCTGAGGTCAGGAGTACGAGACCAGCCTGACCAACATGGCGAAACCCTGTCTCTACCAAAAACACAAAAATTAGCCAGGTGTGGTGGTGCCCGCCTGTAATCCCAGCTACTCGGGAGGCTAAGACGGGAGAATCGCTTCAATCCAGTAGGTGGAGGTTGCAGTGAGCTGAGATCACGCCACTGCACTCCAGCCTGCGTGACAGAGCAAGATTCCATCTCAGGAAAAAAAAAAAAAAAAAAAAGGGTTAACAACCTGACAGCATGCACGCTGAAGCCAAGATGCTACCTTTCCGGGAGTCTGATAGGCCTCCCACAACCATCAGCAGGTCGGGTCGTTTTGAAAATCAACTTCAAATGACATAGAAGGCTTAATGACTCACCTGGTTAGAGTAAGGTGGCGCAAAGTGCTGAGTGTCAATCTCAGTGAAGCAGCCTCAGTACGGATGGCTCCAACAGAGCACCGCAACAACCCAGGAATCATAACAGCAGCACAGGCCATGGCGCTTCCTGGGAAAACATAAAACTGAAATTTCAAACTGCTGTTGTAAAAAGTGGGGAAATAGCAGACCATTTTAGAAGGTCAGTGAAGAAGAATTTGGATTTCTGTTGGTGCTATTATGAGTCAAGCTACCAGCAAAGCAGCCAAGAGCCTAACTTCACCTTGACAAAATTTCTTCCACTATTTAGAGTTGACTCAAGGTATCTCCACAATTATGTATATAAGTATGTAATTTTTGGTGCTATCAAATATTCGTGTTCTCTATTGCTTTCTAAAATCTCTGACCAAGTTCACAGGACTAATCTTATGCTATTATAGAAGAAGGGAGATTTTGTAACTTCCTGATAATTGTATTCTATCTAAAGAGCACTACATAAGTCTTTTATATTTCTTGTTAGGTAAAGTGTAAGAGGAAGATAAATTTACCGTGGTTCCCAAACAAGAAGCTTAAGGTTCCCAGATATTAAAAAACCAAAACTGATAAATATAACACTATTCATAATAGCCCAAACTGAAAACTATCCAAATGCCATTACTAGGGGAGATAAGCTAATTGTGATATATTCACACAGTAAGATACACTATACAGCAATGAAAACAAACTGCAACTACATGCAGTAACATAGATGAATATCACAAATAACATACTGAATGAAAGAAGCCAGACCCCAAAGAACAGATATTCTTTTATTCTAAAGCATATAAAGTATAAAAACAGACAAAATGAATCTATGATGTCAGAAATCAAGTTAGTAATTTCCCTTGGGAGGTGGCAGTGACAATGTTGTTTCTTAATCTGGGTGCAGATTGCATGAGTATTTTCATTTTTTGTAAAACTGATTAAGCTGTCCTCTTAGGATCTGTGTAGTTTTCTGTTTGTACTTGAACTTCAACAAAAAGTTAAACACACACACTCTCTCTCTCACACACACACACACACACACACACACACACACACAGATTCTTCAACATTTCAAATTCTAAAAACTACCAGCCTATCAAGAAAAGCACTGATTAGGAGTCAGATGATATTTCTTTTTGGTTCCTTTTATATCATTTTCCTACGTCAATTTTTAAACATTTGTCTAAAATGGCCACATTTAATATGTTACCTTGCTCTATCTGTCCTTTTCTATCTTAGTTACCTTGAGAATAAATGAAAATGCATGTGAATACTTTTTTCTCTGAGCTTTTTGGGAGGCAGTATATAAATTAATTGTAATAAATTGCTGTTAGCAAAATATTCAAGCTAAGTGTTTACATTCCTACTCCATATTCATTAATTTGGTCCTTCATTCAACAAGTATCTATCAAGAGTCCAGTATGTGGCAGGCACTGGCATAAGCAATGGTGCTACAGGCATGAAGAAAACAAAAACCTTAGGGAGTGTGCATTCAATAGATGAAGACAGAAAATAAATACAAATAAATAAATCTGATGGTGATATGTCATATATAGTTTATTCCGTTATACCCCAATCATATTAAAAAGCTCACTGCTTCATAACTAGTCTTTAGATAAATGATATATTTCTTCTTTTCATAGTATGTTGCATCATCATTGTGGATAAGCATGGTACTTGCTATTTTTCTCTTTACTAAATGAAAAAAGCAGAAGGCCTCTTCGACCTCATTCAAGACCACTAAATGTGGTTTCTCTCCATTAAATGTTCTAAGTCAATAATGTTACCTTCATCCGTGAAAGAAAGAAGTTGAAACTTACTTTAGAAGTCCACGAGATTTTAGTAGTCATTAAGAATATGGTCAGCTGATTGACAGAATATTTTGGTCCTGCTATTACACTGAGACTTTTGGATGTACAGCAGTTGGAACGTGGACAGTTTTTCCATGCATTAAAATTCTCACAAAGTTCCTGCAATGGCAAAAACAACATATAACAATGTTTTGGGGAACTGATCAAAAGCACTATTACCTCTTAGCTGCCAAAGGAAAGGTTCATTATAATCAGTAGGCATCACCTCACAACAAGCCCACTCTCAATTACCCGCTCTCCATTCATTCTTCCCTCCATGCTTCCATTTTTCTTTTTTGATTATTTATCTTACAGCTTCTTTTGTTCATCTTCCTTGGCCTGTCTTTAACACCTTCTACTTAGGATATCCACCCCAGGAAACAGCAGACCAAAGGCTAGAATGACACAGTTATATGTCACTTAAGGCCAAGTTCCCTGATAAAATTTAACCACTATATTGTTAAATATGGAAATACTGTTCTGTTCAATGTTTTAGACAACTATTGCTAAAATAAGTTGCCCTCACAATAGGATACATTGTTTAATGATTATGCTGTTTGAATGGTCTCCTTCTCAACTGAACTGGAAAACAAATGTTAATTTTAAAAGCAGTTCTTGCCGGGCACAGTGGCTCATGCCTGTAATCCCAGCACTTTGGGAGGCTGAGGTGGGGAGATCGCCTGAGGTCAGGAGTTCGAGAGCAGCCTGGCCAACATGGTGAAACTCCATCTCTACTAAAAATACAAAAAATTAGCTGGGTATGGTGTCGGGCACCTGTAATCCCAGTTACTAGGGAGGCTGAGGCAGGAGAATCGCTTGAACCCGGGAGGCGGAGGTTGCAGTGAGCCAAGATTGTGCCATTACAATCCAGCCTAGGCAACAAAAGCAAAACTCAGTCTCAAAAAAAAAAAAAAAAAAGCAGTTCTCTTTAAAATCCCGAGTTTATTTTGTAAAAGTAACCATGACCAAGAGTGCCACCTACTGGTAAATAAAGGACATTTTAATAAAATTCTGTTCAAAGTGCTTTCCAAAGCTTTATGCCAGTCCTAAAATACAAAAAATTAAAAACCTGCTAATTTTTTGAAATATGTCCAGTGGTTTCATACTGTAAGTATTTAATCAACCACAGCAGATCAATATATATCAAGTTATTTCTAAAACCACATAAAGAAGAACATCCCATCAATGTCTGTATCCTCACAGGTCTTCCCTTACCAAGAAATCTTAACTAATTTTATTTCTGAAATGCAGAAAATTATAATAAATGCTAAATAAAACTGACACTCACTAAATATGTAGTAAAACAAACTTCTGTAAGCAACAGATTAAATTTAACATTTAAGATTAATTACATGGTTTCAGTTCAACAGGTATACTGAGTTCATTCAACAATTACTGGGGTGCCAGGCACTATTTTAGGCCTTGAAGATATAATAAAGAACTAGACACAAGGCCCTTGCCATCATGAAGCAGAGACAGATAGCAGTAAACAAATGATTAACAAGATAATTATAGATTATGGTGAGTATGATAAAGGAAGTAAGAGTGATGGGGTAGGTGGGGGAAATATTAAGAAAGATATATCTCCAGGGATGACACCTTGGCTGAGACCTGAATGATGAGGAAACGGCAGCCAAGCAAATGTTAAAGGCAGATCACTCTGGCAGAAGGACTAGCAAGAGCAAAGGTCCTAATGCAGAAATAAGTCCGGCATGTGAAGAGGAACCAAGGCCAGTATGACTGGAGAGCAGTAAGCTGGTAAGAGTGAAATGAGATGAAGTCCAGCAGCCTATAGTAAGGGCAGGAATTTTATCCTAAGGGTAACGGGAAGCAACTGCAAAGTCTGAATCAATCAGGAGAAGGACAAGACCTAATTTATATTTTTAAAGGACTGCTCAAGTTGCTGTGGGAAGGATAAGAGAGAGGGGCAGGAGTGGAAGTAGGAAGTCCAGTTAAAAGACTCTGGTCTAAGATTATAATAAGGTAACAGCTACAGAGATGGCAGAAGTAGATGAACATGACATATATTTTGGAATTAGGGCCCCAAAACTTGCGGATACATTAGGCAGGGTGTGAGAGGACACTGACAGAGAAAAGCCAAGACTGCCTCAACAAGCACAAATGCACTGAAATTAAGTAAGTTCAAAGAACAATCATGACATCTACCAATTTAGAATCAGGTGTCACTGAGGAAGAAAAGGGGCTCCTCTTGGTAAACAAGTAGTATACACAGAGCATTTGACTTGAAATCAGCAGAACTGGGCTCAGGTGTGACTCCTTCCTGCTTTCTAATCTTCAGCAATTTTAGCCATTTTAACATTACCCATGCCACCTCACTGGATTACTGAGAGGAATAAATAAAACGTCTACCGAAGTACCTGGCAAGCAAGAGTGTTACTAAAATCAGTCCTAATACACTGACCCCTTCTCTTCCTTGTCAAACAACCTAGAGAGGTGGAGGTTTGGTATTGCCAATAGACAACTCCCTCTGGCCTGATATACAACAGCACTCATCAAATACACTTTGCATTATACAATTATGACTTACTTTTTTTTTTTTTGAGATGGAATCTAGCTCTGTCACCCAGGTTAGAGTGCAGTGGCACCATCTAGGCTCACTGCAACCTCCGCCTCCCAGGTTCAAGTGATTCTCCCACCTCAGCCTCCCAAGTAGCTGGGATTACAGGCACGTGCCACCACGCCTGGCTAATTTTTGTATTTTTAGTAGAGACCGGGTTTCATCATTGGTCAGGCTGGTCTCAAACTCCTGACCTCATGATCTGTCCACCTCAGTTTTCTAAATCTGAACTTAGGCTAAGAACCCTAGGCATTGTTGTTTCCTGGATAAGCAGTGTTAGTTAACATTTATGATAAATAAACTTGTGATCTCAAATTACTATAGCAACTAATAAATCTGCTTATGTTACACTCTCAGGGTCAAAAAGGGTGTCATTACAAAATATTTCCATCCTTTTAGGAATAAATGTAAAGTTTAGTAGTCATTGTAATGTTTTCTTTAAAAGTGCTGGGTGGAGTAAAATAAACTACATTACATGCTTGGATATGGTTTTACTTTCTTCAGCACAGTATAAGCTCAAATTGGGCAGAACGTTAAGAGCAGCCATCTCTGACCAGACAGTGGGGACGATCAATGGATGCCACGATGAAAACATATGGAAAGCCATAGAGAACCTCCTCTCCCCAAATCTAGTTCTCATGGGACCAAGCACTGCTTAGAGGAAGATCTCAGCAATCTGCAGAGCTGCAGTGCTGCTTTTTAAATCTAGCTCTGCTTGAAGTACCATCACATCAAAAATGACATTACTGTTAATTAAAAGCCTAGATTCTAGGGTCAGACAGATTTGAGTTCTCATCATAGCTTATTGCCATTTACCAGCTTTGCCTTAGGCAAGTTCCTCAGCCCCTAAGCCTCCTGCTTCTCAATGTTAAAGAAGGGGGTAATGATACTTATACCTCACCGGGTTGTTTTAATGATATAATACCCATAAGGATTTGGTCACAGTGTATGACCAACACAGAGTCAACTATTATTAATAAGTAGCTCATTCGTTTTTTCCACTTTAGGTAACATGCATTCAAAGAAAAGTTGGAACATTACAAAGAAAAACTACCCAACAACCCCTATAACTTTTAGGACTACTAACTTCAGATTTTAAAATTCCTGAGCAAATTCTTTTTGATAGATGCGAAATGCTTTCTAAAAGATCTACCAATTTATACCTCCCATGAGCCAAATATGACTACACCCATTCCTCAACATATAAAAACGGCTCACAATGAATTTTCAAGTACTTACACTCAGAAGGACTAAAGAAGTAAAGACGGCTCCCAACCTCAAAATGATCAAAGGGACTGCAGAACAGACACGGAGAATCTCCCTTTTTTTCCTATCTCCAAGAGGCTCGTGGTAAGTATTTGTGTCAACAGTGGAGCAGCCTCCAAGCTGTGTGGGCTTTGCTGGGATGTCTCCTTTGCCCAGACAGACCAGAATCATCACAGTTAATCCTTGACAAGTTTTAACAAATGTTTCCTAACTGCTGGGTAAATCTATAACTACGCAAAATTCAGCGTTTGTGAGGCCTTTGAAATAATCCTCCATAAACTCCTGTAATATACCTTCTGGATTTTCCCCCAAAAACTCCTCTGCCTTTAAGTTTTCAAGCTTTAAAAGGGCTACATTGAGTGGAGCTTCATCTAAGTGTGCACAAAATTGGTAACTTTATGCCAACATATGAGTGTGTAAATATAAGCACAGGGATATGTTATGTAAATGTAAACTAAATGTTACATATCGTTGCTGAACCAAGTAAAACTCACAATTTCCATGCAAAAGTGCAACGTTACATCTAAAAAGGATCTTATATTATCTCTACTCCAATCCTTTCTTAGAAGAGGAAATAAGGCCCAAAGAATATAAATTCCCACTTGCCAGAGCAAATCAACAACTGAAGATTCCGATCCCAGATCTTCTCTCAAAAGCGCTTTTTTTTTTTTTTCACTACAATGCATTTCTTCTCTATTAAGATATTAAAATGCCCAGTAATTGAGTAAGACCCAGTGGACTCGGTTTTACCAAAACAGGCACTAGCACAGCTTTCAAGACAAAAATGCCTTTTATCTGCATTTCGCTTCAAGGCATACGTAGGCCTCACACTGATAAATCTGCCTACTGACACCATTTCCTTCGCAAAGAAAAAACTGGTACTCACATAAGTAATTTGTCCCTGGACCTTGGAGACAGAAAAGCTCTTCATTATTTCCCAGGTGCATGATTTTAGTCAAGATGCCCAACTCTCTGTACCTCAGTTTAAAGACTAATAAAATGGAATAACACGTAAACTCCTAGAGCTGACAATTCCACTTAGTGCAAGAGCTGGCACATAACTCCCCAATAATAAAAGCTGATGTTATTACTATTACTACAAATCATCGTAGTTAATAATGTTATATGTCTGGCAAACAGAAGACTAAAACTCAATCCCTGCCTTCCAGGGCTTGGTCCTTTCAGCAACACAATTTAGGATATTTTAAGACTTCTGGGGTGAGAAAGACGCGGAATGTACCTGCAGCCAGGAACTAACAAGCTGACCGTCGCCCTGGGCTCAAGGTCACTCGGTGAAGCGAAATTCCACGGCACTGTTCGTCCGTCACCAGGAAGGGAGGTCAAGAAGGCTAAGGTGCTCTCGCCTCCCCACTCCGCCTTTCCCGAGGGCCGGTAGGATGCTACCTAGCACCTGCTGCAGCCTTCAGCGGGCTGTTTAAGGCGTTAAAGCAGGCGACAAGAAACAGGGAAACTTTCCCCGCTGGTGTTGCTTGCAGACCCGGCCACGTTTAGCTGCCGGCACCTGGGATACTCCGCGGTCCCAGACATGACGCAGCAGCGCGGGCGAGCCCCACATTCTATTGGTCACTGCCATCCAATAGGAGGAGCGGTGCGCGACCCCGCCGAGCAAGACGTGCAGTCTTCCCAGTGTCTCCGCCCCTAGCTCAGCCGTCTCCGCCCCTAGCTCAGCCATCTCCATGGTGACCGCTAACGGTTATCCGTTTGGCCGCGCAGGCAGGAGTTGCGTCATTGCCCATGCGCCGGAAGCGCTGGTCCTTGCCCGGCGCGACCTGATGATGCCGAGCCTAGGCCGGTTCCGGCCAAGTTAGACTGTCGGAGCTGGTCTCGGGCTGCCGGGGCGTCACCCCGTCGGCGACCCCCGCTGACCATGGCAGTGTTTCATGACGAGGTGGAAATCGAGGACTTCCAATATGACGAGGACTCGGAGACGTATTTCTATCCCTGCCCATGTGGAGATAACTTCTCCATCACCAAGGTAACTTCAGGGTCCCGCCCGGCGGTTCACCCAAGCAAGCGCAGTTTGGCTCCGCCGTGTTCCTTCCGTCATTGGGTAGCTTTTGCTGCGCTGTGTCACCCACGCCCTCTTTCCCGTTGCTGAATCTTCCTCCTCCCGCATCCCCCCACCCCAACTAATACCCTGAGCTCTCTCGGTAGGCACGTAGTTCTGGTCTTAGATTAGGCCAGGGAGAGGGCGACGGGGAGCCTCTGTCTCTGCCCGATCGCTACCTTAGAGTCCCAGCCTGGGATATTTCTGTCGAGGAGGGGACTCGTTTTTTGTTTCCCAGGGCTTTTGGGGCGACTGAAACTCGCCTAACTTTCCTAGGTGTTTCTAGGGGAAAATGATGTCGGCATTTCCTACTGAAGGCCCTGGGGTTCTCACCCACCTTGCGGGGAAGGCAAGCCACCAAGAGACTTGCATCTAGGGGTGGGATAGGTTTGGGGGAGGATATGGCGAAGAGAAGACTATGCTGACCACATGGTGTTTGATTTCGTTGTAGGAAGATTTGGAGAATGGGGAAGACGTTGCAACGTGTCCTAGCTGCTCTCTCATTATAAAAGTGATTTATGACAAAGTAAGGGATATAATTTTTAAAACGGGGGAAGGGTGTTATAAGGCAGTGGCAAGAACTTAGATCAGCCTGTCAGTGATGACAGCAGGAGAATGTTTCATTGTGTTAGGTAAAGTGCAGTATTTGGGCAGGTTTTAAACACCATTGATAAACAGCCGAATAGTAAATTAAATGTTTAAAGTTCAGATTACATAATTTATTTTAGTTTTAGAGATAAATCTAGCTTTAGTGAAAATTATTATTTATTAAATAGAAGAAAGTATATAGATTATTTTAATGGGCAATTTTTATATTTCTCTTCTATTTAATATGTAATTAAAATTGTTTAGAGCTCCTAGACTTACTTTGAAGGCAACAATTGTATGGTATTTCATGCCTGGCTTATACATAGAATTCTGCATTATCTTGTTTGAGATATAATTCCTAGATGCAGCTTTACAATTTCATTTTAGTCTTTAGTTGCCCTATTGTCTTTCACCCAAGGATGTTGACAATAGAAAAAAAAATGTTATTACTGCCCACTCCTGCCCAAAGTTTAGTTCAGTACTTGGAATGAAATTTAGGTAAGGAGCTTAACACTCTGAAGAATGTACTCAAAAACGAATATAGGGAAAGAGGGGATAAGGCACAGAGCCTCATTAGAGAAGCGGGCTATAATTTAGACTATAATTTAGAAATATAATTATTCATTCTTGTATTAAAATATGCTCTGCAACAGAAAGCAAACAGGGTAAGGAAGATCAGGAGTGCTGGTCTGGGAGGAGGTTGCAGTTTTCCATAGGGTGATCATGGCAGGCCTTACTGAGAAAGGCCTTATTAAGTAAAGATTTGAAGGAGGCAAGGAAGTGAGCCGTGTACATATGAGGGTATGGGTTAAGAGAGTTGAGCAAAAGATCGTTCAGTGAAGGGGACCCAAGACAGGAACATGCCTGATTTTATCAGGGAACAAAGAGGAGGCCAGTGTGACCAGAGCAGAGCAGGATGAGAATAGTCCAAGATGAAGTCGTGGATCACTTTAAGGATTTAGGCTCTTGTTGTAAGTGATATAGGGAACTATTGGGGGATTTTCAAACATAGGAGTGCTATGATCCAACTTAAGTTTTTTAAAAAAAATGATTCTGGCTGCTTGTTCAGAGTAGCCTATAGAGAGCAAGCATAGAAACAGGAAAACCAGTTAGGAGGCTGTTACACTAATTAAAGAAGGAGGTGGGTGGCTTGGACCTGGTTACAGCAATGGAAGTAATGAGAAGTACTTAGATTCCGGATACGCTTTGAATGACTGATTTGTATAGGGTGTGAAGGAGTGAGTCAAGGATGATTTCAATATTTTTTACCTTAATAACTGGGTGGATGGAGTTACTGTCAATTGAGGGAATGTAACTATAGGTATAGGGGTTGAAATTGTACATAGTAAGTTTGAGAGGTCTGTCATCCAAGTTGAGCTGTTGAGAAGGCAATTGGATATATATGTCTGGAGTTCATGAGAGAGATTGGCTAGCAATGTCAGTTTTGGAGTTATCAGTGACAGACAGCATTTAGAGCCATGAAATTGGATGAGATCACCAGGTCTGTGAATGTAGAGATGGATAAAATACAGGACTGAGCATTAAGGCACTCCAGTATTAAAAAGTCAGGGAGGGAAGTGAGGAATCACCAAAGCTGATGGTAAAAGAGCAACCACTGAGAAAGGAGGAAATCAGCAGCGTCAAATCCTGGAAACCAGCTGAGAAAGGGTCGAGGAAGTGGTGATCCTTGTCATGTGACACTGATAAACCATTAGCTTTAGTAACACTGAGTTTATTTGTGATGGTGACGAGAGCAGTTTCCATGGAGTAATAGGAACAGCGCATGATTGAAGAAACCAACGGGCAGAAAGCTGGTTGGAGAGAATGAGAGAACGGAAGGCAGTGAGTATAGGCATTTCTTTTAAGGAGTTTGCTGCAAAGGAGAGCAGAGACATGTGACAGTAACCAGCGGTGATAGAGGATCAAGAGAGTGTTTAAAGTGGTAGAAATTCAGCCTTCATAAGTGAATATAGACACAGAAAGTTAGATTTAACCAGGTTGATGGTTTTCCCAAGTGAATAGTAAGGAGTGAGAGAAGAGTTGTTATAACCAACTGTGGAGTGTGAACTATGTAAAGAGAACATGAAGGGAGTGAGGGGCAGTGAAAGGATGGTAGGATGAATACGGTGGAGGTCCAGAGGAGTTGAAATATGGCATCCAGGGTGGATAAATGACAGCAACAGAGAAGAATAGCAATGCGGTAGTCTCAAGACATAAGATTCTAAACTGATGGGTTTTAGACAGGAAAGGAGAAGGGTGGCAAAAAGGAGGAACTAGCCCCATTTCCAATCCCTCTCGTACTAGGACTCTGAGAACACAGAGCCTCCACTAGACAGGCCTATAGGGGAAACTGTCCTTAAGAATATGACTTCATCTCAGCCTCAACACTATTGACATTTTAGACCTGATAATTATTTGTTGTCCAGAGATATCTCGCGCATTATAGGATGTCTAGCAGGATCCCTGGCCTCTACCTGTTAGATGCCAATAGCAATCCTCAGTTGTTTCCATTCAAACTGTTTCCAGATATTACCAATGCTTTTGGGGGTAAAAGGATATTTTGATGAAGAGGTTGAGAATGTGGAGCATTGTGCTAACAATGGACCATGAATTCCAAAGGGCACAGTGAAAGGGTTCCAGATATTGGACAACAGAGTAGCAGGGACAGAGTAAGGGCTGATCCTTCAGGAATCAGATTGCTGGAGGTGAGGGATAACCTTGGAAGCAGAGATTTTTTGTGGTAGCTGACATAGCCAGGATAAATGATCAGAGATTGAACTTCATTTACAAAGTAGCTAACATTGCAGATTATCCGTGTTGGGAAACACATAAAGACCCGTCCCTTTTAGTTAGAAGAAGTAATTACTTTGAAGAGGACTGGTATTTGAATGACCAAATATTAAAGTGGAGAAGTTTTAGTGTAAGTAGTAATACAGAAATTTAAAAGATGTGGCATATCTTTATGTGATTTCTGAGAAGTGGTTGCTCTGAACTGAAGATGGGGATATCTGTTTATAAGATGCTTTATATTAAATAATGAATTCAGAATCAAAAACTGATACATGTTTAAGATTTTAATTCTAGTGCTGTCATTGGCTCTTTGACCAATGAAATTATAATAGCAATGGAAAAACAAAATTAACAGAGCTGGATTAATTCTGTAACAAAATGAAGGTTTAATGTTAATGCATTTGTGACACGGAAATTTATTGGTTAATGTCATTTCTCACTCTGTCTTAGGATCAGTTTGTGTGTGGAGAAACAGTCCCAGCCCCTTCAGCCAACAAAGAATTAGTTAAATGCTGAAGAAGCCTTCAGGAATCCAAATCCTGAACAGTTGGAAATGAGCCCAGATAGAAATATCAAATGCAGAGCTACTGGCTTCACTGAGACAACCATTTGTGATTTGCTGTTCTGTGAGAGTGTGGATTCTTTCCATCAACTGCTGATCTCATCTTCAGGAAGCAAGTCCATAACATGACATATCTGGATTTTGTGCTAAGAACCTTAAATTGGAAGCATTCTTAATTATCCATCTAAATTTAAAAGAAGATAATTTCAAAACAGTGCTTTCTTTCCCTTGGTTTCATCATTTTCATATTTTAAACCAAATTCCTTCAGTATCTGATAACAGCATCATCTACCTCAGTCATTAGGATTTCTTAATAAAAAAGAGATTGTATTTTTGACTTGGTTATTAAGATAATTAAAATTAGCCCTTCATTTGAAATTTGACATCAGCTTTGCTGTTCTAAATTTAAAATTAGTTGCTTCATCAGTACCACACTTCCAGTTTCTATACCAAGCCAGTCTCCTCAGTTTTCCCATTAGGATGGACATGTTCTGTTCAGCATGTCATTTCTATAATGCTTCATGCAGAGAATTCGGTCATAGTATTAAAGAGAAGATACAGTGAGGTCACAATGTCTCCAGAGCTAAAAGTTAGTGAACAAGAAAGTAAGTCTAAATTGATGAAAGAATGAGGAGTTTTCTTATCTTCTGCATATTCCTTGGAAGTCAGGACAGGATGAAAAACATCCAAAAGAAGTGAAATTGGTGACAGAATGAGAGGAGCAGAGCATTCCAGTGTAGTAAATGAAATGTTTGAATGACTTTGCCAGATCAGAGCAAGTAATATTTCTGTATCTGAATTTTTGTTTTTTGATAAGGCGAATGCAATTGCATTCCAGATAGGGGTTAATGTCAGATTTCCGTGGCTGGAAGCTGTGCTTTTGGCATATCACAGTGTTGTGTCAGTACTACAAGGTAAAGCATCTACAACAGAGAATGAGCTTGAAAATGAAGGATCTATTGTGAATAAATATGCCCATGAGAGCATATTTAATAAGCCTCTATAACATGCAGCCAAACCAGACATTCACTCCTGCAGAGAAATGTTGCCCTGAAGAAAAAGAAATATATAGATAGGCTATCATTCTTCCTTTGCTGCAGTACTAAGAATAGCAAGAAATTAGAATCATTTACATTGGAAATTTGAAAATTCCCTTTATATACACAACTTTACTGTGTATAAATAAAAAATGTTAATGCACTGATGTCTGTCAGGTTGTTTTAGGAATGGCTCCTGCAATTAGAAAAATAGCTTGCTAGAATGTAAATGTTGTGTTACTTATTGGTAAGTGTACTGTACACATTCATTGGAGGTTAAAACAAGTGAGTAGCCATTTTTACCTGCCAGCAGCATGGCTCTGTGCAGCCACTAGGCTGAGACAATAAATTACCAAAAATTGTATGCTGAAAGTGCTCGGTACATTATGTGGCATATTCTGGATGTGATGAGAAATCTCATTGCTGTTTGGGACACTGACATCCCAGAAGCAATCCACAACTGCTTTGCAAAAGCAAAGTGACTGCTCAGATGAACAGAGCAGAGTACTCACTTACTATGGTGGGATCAGCTGCAAAGCAAAATGAACTGTCCCACAGTCATGTTGATGGTTTTCTAGATATTGCCAACATGTTAGCTCTTTCTGATGCTGATGAATTTCAAACATGAACAGACACCCTTGATGTGGGTTTGTTAAGAACATAGAAGAACAGGAAAAGTTGCCAGGTTCACACATCCCAGGAAAAAAGCATGAAAAGCATTAGCAATCAGTGACTGATGATAATGCTGCAGTAATGGGAATGGTTTTATTTCTAAATGAGATTATTTCTAAATAAAATCATTTATTGGTTTGTTTCTAAAGCAATTGAGTCACTAAGTTTGTGAACTATAAAGGAACACATCAAGATTGAATCCTGTGTTAAGCAGAAAGTAAAACCAGAGCCAGGCACAGTGGCTCGTGCCTGTAATCCCAGCTATTCAGGAAGCTGAGACAGGAGGATCGTGTGAGGCCAAGAGTTCAGGACTAGCCTGGGCAACATAGAGAGACCCTGCCTCTAAAAAATTTTCTTTTAATTAGCAAGGTATGGGGCCATGAGCAAATTGCTTGGGCCCAGGAGTTTGAGGCTGTGGTGAGTTGTGATCACACCACTGCGTTCCAGCCTATCTGACAGGGCAAGACCTCCTCTCTAAAAAATAAAGAGAAAGCAGAGTAAAACTGGACTGTGAGATATGACTAAAGTTCTGTGTGATACGTGTGCCTTATTTAGCTCAAGACATTTCTAGAGCACATATAAAAACTGACTTGTCATCCAGGCTGTGTCTCTTTTTAGCTTTGTAATCTTTGGCAAGGCCATTGGATTCTTCAGCTGTACAATTAGGAGACTTGATCAGGTGATTTCCTTTCTCAGCTGTCAGTTCTTTAATTTCAGGCTTGGTAGCTTGTGGGAACTGAAAAGGCAATTAAAACCTTTATAAACGCAAACTAAATCATGAATTACAGAAAAAGTCCATTGTTCCATAACTTGGCGTTACCACACTTATGAGTTTAAAAATTACGAAGTCGACTGTTGAAAGGATTCTGCGTATATTCTATTGTGCACATTCAGAAACATTTTTCTTGGAAAAAGCACCCAACATTTTTTATAACTGCACATATTAATTTATTGCCAGAATAAATTGCATTGCATGCTAAATAAAGTCAGATAATTCAAATCCATTTGCTTTTCTGTAGTTTTTCTTCTAAATGTCAACATTCTGAATTAAAATGTTTATGACTTTATATGAGGTAGAAATCTTAATTGTTTTGGGGTATTGTTAATAGGCTTTTTGTTTTGGACAGTAGTTTTTAAATAAGGAAATTGTTTGGGCTCTGGATTGTTATTGCTATTTGGGAAAAAATAACTGAGTCAAGTGGTAGTAAGACAAAGTTGACATTCTTAGACTCAGTTTATTACCAGGAAAGAAGACTGATGTTTAAGGCTGATGATCAATTCTTGGAGTGATTTCAGAGCCTAGCTCTGGTCAGAAGACAATTAGAATCTTAGTTCCTCCACTGTGATCTCCAGGAATTTACTTTATAATTATCTTCTGGTTTGTGAAATACAGATCGTAGTACCTCTTTCACAGGGTTGCTGTGTGAACCCATTCATTGTGCAATTAGAAAAATAGCTGTCATGTGCTACACACTAGACAGAGAAGCACCTGTCACATGCTAGGCGCTAGGTGAAGAAGATTGGGTTTCTACATTTGGAAACTTAGTGGAACTAGAAGAGACAGAAGCAAGATTACAGATGAGTTAGAGCCCCCAAGGAAACAAACCAGGTGATATGGGAGAGAGTAATTGGGTCAGGTGACTTTTTAAGGGAGTCTGATCTCTGGCACTTCCAAGTCCTGAAGGTTGAGAAGGAAACAGCCGTGTGAAAATTATTAAATGAGCTAATATCTATAAAACATGACCACTAACCCCTGTCATGTGCAAAAAATAGTTAACTATTCTAACTCCAAAAGGAGTTAAACATTGTTTTGAGCTTTCTCTTTGTCCATGTTCTGTTGCTGTAACAATACCTCAGACTGAATAATGTATCAAGAATAAAGGTTAATTTGGCTCATGATTATGGAGCCTGGAGTTCATACTATGACCCTGGTGAGGGTCTCGTACTGTGTCCTAACATGATGGAGAAGAAGAATGGGAAGCGGGCGTGTGCAAAGATACCATACTGGAGAGTCAGCCTCATTTTATAGCAACCCCCTCTCTTGGTGACTAGTCTTAGGAGAGGGAGAACTCACTCCCACCAGATGTCATTCATTTCTTCAAGGGCAGATCCCTTGTTATCCAAATACCTCTTAAAAGTCTCACCATCTCTTAACACCATTACGTTGGGGACCAAGCCTCAATATGAGTTTGGTGTGGACAAACCATATCCAAGGCACAGCAAACACTGACAGTATTCTTGGCATAAATATGAGAAGTGTGCAGTTTTGGACACCCTTGCCTCCCTCTTCTTGAATCTAGGGGTAGGGCCCTGCAACCTGTCTTTTAATGCCTGCTAGCTGATTCTCATGCAGTTAAAGTTTGGGAATCACTGGTTTTCAAACTTGACAGCACATTTGTAATCGCTTCGGGCACTTAAAAAATTTGATGCTCCAGAGAGTCTGACTTAATTGATTTGGGTGCAACTTGGGCATCGGGATTTTTTAAAAAGTGTCCCTGGCGATTCTAATGTGTAGCCAAGGCCTAGAACCACTAGGCTAGAAAAGCAGAACGTCTCACGAAGTTAAAAGGAGCCTTTTTTTTTTTTTTTTCTTTTTAAGACAGAGTCTTGCTCTGTTACCCAGGCTGGAGTGCAATGGCGCTATCTCCACTCACTACAAGCTCCGCCTCCCGGGTTCATGCCATTCTTCTGCCTCAGCCTCCTGAGTAGCTACAGGCGCCCACCACCACACCCGGCTAATCTTTTGTATTTTTTAGTCAAGACAGGGTTTCACTGTGTTAGCCAGGATGGTCTCGATCTCCTGACCTCATGATCCGCCCGCCTTGGCCTCCCAAAGTGCTGGGATTACAGGCGTGAGCCACCGTGCGCAGCCCAAAGGAGCCAATTTTTTAAAATGATCACACCTGCTTTGCACATGAAACAAAGAAAGGGGGCTCAATTGGCCACACACTGCATTTAGGCATGCAGTCAGCCTTAACAAGTGGCCAGGAGAACCCAGGCTGGGCCAATGTACACAGCGGTAGAGCTCTAAACTGGGTGGCCTCCAGGCTGCATCCCGTATTTAAACAGACAATCACATTTTCCAGCACACGCTGGCTGCTAATTACATACCTTACAAAAGCAACAGCTTCTGCAGGTGTAAGTAATTAGGATTCTTTAACTCCATTTGAGGATGCCTGCCATTCCCTGCTTCTTATCTAGCAGATTGCCATCATTACATATTTGACTGGGAAACCAGTTTACACATTATTCCTTGCTAAGGGTTTAAAACAAAGGGCACATAAAAGAGAAATCACAATTCCACCAAAGGCTTAAAATACGGGTGGAGGTAGAGTGGGGGGATTCTCCACCTTTCTCTACATACTTGCAGAGATGCACTTATAGAGGAGCCCTAGAACTCAGAACAAAACAATTCTTTGACAATTCTTTGTAATGTATGAATGAATATTGTTCAAATTCTAGGAAAGCAAGTTAGCATTTTAAAAAAGAAAATTGTTTTTCGGTCTTCAGACTTTACCACTCAAATTAGGGGAAAAAAAAGGCATGTCCTTTTCAAGCCCTGGCGCAGGTGGACAAGTTCAAACTTTGGGGAAATTTGGAAGTTAAGAATGTCCAGCTGCGGGAGTGGGAACCCTGGAAGGGGCTGGTGAAGAAGTCTGGAAGGGTCTTTGCGTCTCTGGCGAGATTACCTCTGAGCTTACAGCCAAGCGTCGGTAGTGGGGTTGGAGTTCCTGTTGGTCAGTAAAGCTGGCGGGAAGAAGCCCCAGGCATGCAGGAGAGAGGGAAGATGAAAGCCAACCACCAGCGCCTCTGCAGCTGTCTCTCACCACCTTACACTGGAGCGCTCTCCAGCATCACAGCTGCTGCCTCCTTTCTGCCTTTCAAACCTTGCACCAGTTTCTCCTTTTTACTCATCTGTAACCCAGAACCATATGGGGAAGAGAATACTGGGAAATAGTTCTAGCTTAGCCAAGTTAATATAGCACATAACTACCACAGTTACTGATACTGAAAAGCCACTCAAATCCACTTGAATATCTTAATTAGAAGCCCCCCTAACTTTCATCTTTGTACAACCTGGAAAACTTTGCCGCAGCACCTGCTGAGATAGGACAAATGCTGGGAAACTAACCTAGCTACCAATGTAGATTGCAGAGGCACAGGTAGGCCCAGCAGGCTGTTTCCAAGGAAGGTGGCCACCTCAGTCTCAGTTCTGGCAAGTGAGAGGTATTTGATTTGGTAATTGAAGTAGCTCCCAAATGGGGGTACATGCCCAGTAAGGAATAGGAGATCCCAATGAGTGCGCAGGGCCACCAGCATTGCTTCAGTCCAGGAGGATCGACACTTGGGGCAATTCCCATGTAAGATATGACTGTGGTATCAGGACCCAGTCACTAGGCAAATATTTGGGGCCAGACTTCATACTTAGGGGAGAACTGAGTGTTTGATAGGGTCAAAGATTGTATCTTTGGACAAAAATCAATGGGCACTACCTGTGTGTACTTTAGGACAGCACAGGCCACCTGGTTCACCCCAGAGGACGTTGGGTCCCAGTGTACAGTTCCTAATGGCAGTGAGGACTTAGAGCATTACTGTAGCTAGCAGGTATCTCCGAACCACCAACTGATGACGGTGATGAGAGTAAGGCTACTAGATAGGGGATTGGGGACTATTTTATGAGATTAAATGAGATAATGCATGTAAAGCACTTAGCATGGATTTTGCACCTAGTAAGGGCTCAATAAATGATAGTTTAATCTTATGTGTTTCTTGTTCCATAATAAATTAATCAAGACTATGTTCCAAGGAACTTTTCTGAATTTTTAGGTTTAGACAACAATGGACTCAGCCATAATGTGTCAGGGTTCAATCCAGAGAAGCTGAAGAACCATGAGTGAGAGAGAATGGAGATGTGTTATAAGGATTAGACTTCACATGGCATGGGAGCTAGTGGAGGCATCCAGGGAAGGTGGTTATCTCTGCATCTGATGTTGAGCCTAAAGTAGTAATTGGTCGGCCAAACTGGTAGTCAGAAAAGGAAGCTTGGTGTGAACAAGAGAAAATACAAACCGGAACCTACACCTGTCTCACTGTCTCCAACCTTAATGCTGTGGGTGACTCCCAGGAGAAGCTGGCAGCCGTCTCCACAGAGTTGCATAAGTACTTGGCCCAGAACAAGGCAAGCTAGCAGATTGCAACATGCATGAGCACCCACTGTTCCTGGGATCCTGCTCCAGCCTTCAGAGCCTTAAAAAAAAAAAAAAAAAAAAAAAAAAAAACCATGTCTGCTGCTTTACTTCTGGCTTCCAAATCTTGCAGAAAAATTATCTTGTAGTCAGTGCTAACCCAGGACCACCAGGGAAGGGAATTCTGGGAAATGTAGTCCCAGTTTAGCTAAATTGTAACATACGGCATTGGGGAAGTCAAGGCAGGAGTGGGACATTATTGGTCTTCAATGAGTAAAGGGATCATAGCATTGCATTGTTTAGTTCACACTATGAAGTTGGTATCATATCCTCATAGTAACGGAAACTAAGTCTTTGCCAATGTATCAATCAGGAATTGTTACATTACAAGCCACCCCAAAACTTTTTAAAACAAAAGTCATTTATTCTTGCTTAAGTGTCTGTTGGTCAGCTGGGGGTTGGCTGATCTTGGTTGGGTTTGGCTGAATGACTCTAAACTGCAGATTAAATCTGGGTCCAGTCTTAGGTTTCTCTTCCTTCTTGGGCCAGTGAACCAGCTGGGACAGGTGCAGGAGCTAAATTCCACTGCCCATGCACATTTCAAGTCTTGGCCTGCGTTGGATCTGCCAGTGTTTCATTGGCCAGAACGGTCACATGGCTGAGCTAAAGTCAAGGGCAGGGAAATACAATTCTTCCATGGAGGTGGTGGAGGGAAGGAGTGAATAATTTTGAAAAGTAATTTAATTTATCACAGTCATTAAATAACTGGCTTGGCATTTCAGTACAAATACTTTTGACTCCAACTACCATTGAATTTC